TGTCCGCAATGAATTTGTCATTTGTTGAAAAAGTACGCGATTTCAAACACGCGGGAAATATTGTAATAATTTTTACATCGACACTAGAATGTTTTTCGGGATATTTGGCATACTGTTTTATAGAAATTTCGGCAATACATCAAACGGCGCGTTTCAAAAGCATCTCACAGTTGGATGCGCAAAATGCGAAAGCAAAGTTTTGACAAAAAAAAACTTTTTTCCTAAATGGTACCTGTTAAACGTAGACATGGTTGACATATTTTGTCTCATTATGTAACGCCTAGCTTATTTTCAATCGAGAGGAGTCAATAGGCCAGCAGATGTAGGCTAGTCTGATTCACTGATGGTTCCCGAAAAGATAGGAGCTCTGGGCGTTTTCAGGCCCAAGGCACCCGGTATTTCAAGCAAAAATCTTCGCAACATACGGTATATCGGACAAACAATACGGGTTCAAATAAAACGTCTCTACAGGGGATGCGATCTGAGCAGTTACTTCAAGGATCCATAGTTCCCTAGATGAAAACAAACCTAGCCTCTTATCGAAAGCATTCGATACTGTCAGTGACAAGCTACTTTTGCAAATACTGGAGGTCATAGGCATTGAAGGTAATTGTCTAAAACTTTTTGAGAGTTACTTATCTAATCGTGCCCAGTTCGTGAGAGTAGATAATGGAGTGATCTGAGAACAATTCAGTATAAAGTACCCCAAGGCACCGTCCTAAGGCACATACTGTTTCATATGTATATCAACCAGATCTTTCCGGTCCAAAGCAGGAGAGATATATTTGGATTTGCAGATGACCGCTACATTTTACACAGCAGACACTTAAAATCTACTGTACATGCAAGCATCATGCGACAGCTGCAACACATGCTACTAACAATAAACTGAGGAGAAACGTGTTATATTCCTTTTACCTGCAATAGTTCTACTAAACCATCCTAAAAATATCAGTATACGTAAATGGGTTACAATATTCAATCGCAGCAGAAAAAGTGTAGTAGTAGTATCTTGGCGTTATTATTGATGAACATCTAAGGAGGGACGAACATATAAGCTTCATATGTAATAAGCTGCACATGGTTATCTCGAAGCTCCGATGTATAAAAGAGCCATTATTAACCCAACAGATTGGTACGAGGGTGAATGAAATATAAACGAGACTTTTCGACCTTCAGGCGCAATAGTGGAGTGAGTGGACCCGCTCAGTGTCCAGCGTGACGATGTCGGAGCAAGAGGTACCGCCGTCAATTGCGCAACATATTGTAATCAAGTTGCTCGCTACAGAAGGCGTAAAATCGGCCGAAATCTTGCGGAGATTGACTGTCCAGTTCGGGGAAGAGACACTGTCGCGATGCACCCATGGTATAAACAGTTCGTGGAGGGTCGTGATCGCGTTGAAAATGAGAGCCATGACCGCAGACCCCGCACCAGCATTACAGCGAGCAACATCACCAGTGTTCGACGGCATATTGAAGATGAGAGACGTCGTACCACTTCTGAAATTGCAAGTAAGGTCGGGATAACTCACAGAGGAGCTGGGGTACCGTAAGGGGTGCGCCAGGTGGATTCCTCGCCTTCTCACAGCTGACCAGAAATTGCACCGTCTTCAGGTGTATGGGCGTCTTCTTGCACGATTTCAGGAACAAGGAGATCAAATTCTCACTCACATTATCACCTGTGATGAAACATGGGTGCATCACTACATCCCAGAGTCTAAACAAGCGAGTATGGAGTGGAGAAAACAAGGAGAACCTAGATCTGCATTTTTCCACGTGGAAGGAATTGGCAAGCTGCCTATCCGCTGGGAAAAATGTGTTTTCAAATCAGGAGATTATGTAGAAAAATAAACTATATTTTTTTGCGTTTAAAATAAAAATAAATTACAAAAAAAGTCTCGTTTATATTTTATTCACCCTCGTATCTTGTATCGCGCTTTGGTGGAGAGTTACATGGGGAAGAGCTTCGCAGACTCACACCCTTCCTGTTGAAATACTCCTAAAAAGAATGTTAAAATTAAGATATTCTAAAGCGCCAAGATTTCCCTTTGAACGTTTGAACGTTTTGAACATTCGACAGATGCTCTGTTTTCAAGTTACCACCAGGTATCACTGTGATAAACAGGATTTTATGCTGCCAGCACACTCGCACCCTACACGGCTAAAAACATCACTATTTCGTGCCTTTTTTCCAAAAGTCTGTTAGACAGCGTTCATGTGCATATATTGCTTCCAAGCTGTAAAATAACATTCCTTCGAATGGGCCACATATCAACATTTTGAACCATCTACGGCAAACAATGAAAAATTTACATAATTAGTGATTAGGTGTGGTGTAATTATGTACTTGTATGGTAGTAACTGCAGTGTTATGTTCATAGTGCTTTTACATTTGTGATGCCCTTTGTAACTGTAATTATAAATGTTTTTATTATAGTTAAGAGATTTTAGCTTTTAACTGCGCTTCTTTTCTGTGTCGAAACAAGTATCTGATACTTATCGGCACTAAGCTTTATTCGGTCATTTATTTTTGTTTTGTAACTAACTTGTTACGAATAAAAATAAAAATAAAGCTTGATTGATTGATTTCCGTCGGCTTGTATGTCGGTCTGTTCGTCTGCATGTCTATCTGCTAATCCTGAGCCCAACTTTAACTAGAAATTACCGCTTGAATTTGGATGACATTGTCACACAAGGTAACTACTCAGCCAAGGACGGAAAGGCTGTGTAGTTTTTGGAAATTAAATTAAAAACATCGTTTTTTGGTGTTTCATAAGATCCTCATCATTTCCAGGACAAAAAAATAATCGGTTAAATAGTGATGGCGGGGGAGGGTATATCTCTATTTTGTCACGTTACCACATGGTCGGAACAACCGGTAGGACAGTCTATGGAATAACTGTTTGTGCCTGTTTGACTGGCTTGGTCCGTTCATTTTCTCTGTTATGCATGTTCGTAACTAACTATTTATTCAGAGGGTCTGACATCAGAGTTCCCCAAACTTTTTTGCGTCATAAACCCCTAGCCATGTTTTTCCGTGTTGGGTAGACTTACCTGATAATGATTTATTGTAAATTTCTAACTGTAGTGAAGTTTAGTTTTAAAAACTTAAAGTAAAATTTTGTATCTGTTATGTAAAATATACGTAACCTTAAATAAACAGGTGTCTGACCAATAAGTGCCCGCATTGGGAATAAGTGCCCGCATTAAAAAAAAATAAGAGGGATAAAATAAAAAAAAAGCGAAAAATAATAAAAAAAAGTGTTTTACTTAAAATAGTACAATAAGCGAGTTTGTTTATTAATTATAACATAAACGTATGTTCTACAATAATTTCACTGTTAGTTTGATTAAATTCCGCTACTTATACATTTAAGTTAGCGAAAAATAGGCAAAAAACTATCGAATTTTAGTGTGTACCTACTCTTGAATTTTCAGAATAATGAAAAAAAAATCTATAAAGGGGGGTTCTTTAAAAAAATCAATGCGGGCACGTATTCCCAATGCGGGCATTTATTGGTCAGACACCAATAAACATAAAATAAACTGTAAATAAAATAACATAAGCAATAAGTCAATAGTTTTAGTGAGAAGGATGAACCTAATGCTTTAATAATAAATTATCAACATGGCGTCAATTTTGTAAGGGTTAATCTTAAATCTCCTCGGCTAATGATGTCCAGTCTGTTTCTTTTTTTCGTTAGGAGATTGGTAACAGCGCTGAACCCCCTTTCCACTAGGTATGACGATGGAAAGGAAATTAAAAATTTCCTCGCTATATTCCATAATACGGGATAAGTAACGGTTATGTTGTTTTGCAGCCAGAATTGCTGATATCCGTTTTTAAGCTGAACCTTAAGTTCTTCGTTTGTACTTAGTTCAGTCAGTTCCTCTTGTATTATGACATTCGTTTCTTCTATGTCACCATATGGATTAATTATCCACGGTGGTATTACCATAGTCAAAATATCCTCAAACCTAGATTCAAAATCTGAATAGAGGGCATTTAAATGTTGAACGTAAGTTGAAACGTCGTCTTCCTGGCAGCTTGTCTGTGACAAATTGGGGAACTGAGAAAATTCGCCTCGTCCAATATTTTGCTTCATTAGCTTAACTCTGGCAAGAAATGCTGATAAGATGGACTTTCTTTTAATCAAATTTAAACTGTCGCCTTGTAATTGCAAATTAACCATATTGAATTTTGTAAACAAATCTGTTAAATAGCCGATGTCTGTTTTCCTCTTCATTGAATTTTCTTTTAAAATCTTATCTTTAGTATCCAGAAATTCTAAAATAGTCTCAAAAAGTGCAAAAAATCTTGTCAAACATAAGCCTTTCGACAGCCAGCGTACTTCAGTGTGAAGGAGTAATTGATGAAAGTGTTCATCATTTTCTTCACACAACTGCGCAAATAACCGCGTATTCAACGCGTTGCTTCGGATTCGGTTTACTGCATCAATGACTAAATGTGACTAAAGTGATTCATGCAATCTAACACTCAAATTTTTAGCAACTAAATGTTGATGATGGATGACGCAATGTATTGCTAACACCCCTGACATATTGTGTTTTAAAGAGCTTATAAATTCACGATAACGTCCAACCATGGCAAGTGCTCCATCTTTAGCTACTGATATTATATTTGATGAAGGAATTGCTTTTTCAATGAAGTAATCCTTCAAAACATGAAATATTGATTCACCTTTAGCGTCGGTAATCAATGTTCTTGCGAAGAGCAGTTCTTCGTAGATTTCTTGATTCATAATAAAACGAACATATGCCAATAATAATGCTGCATTATCAGGTAAAGTTGACTCGTCCAGTTGTATAGAGAAATGGGTCGTTTGCAAATAATTATATAAGAAGCTTTCAATATCAGAACTCATTTCATCAATACGTCTTTCAACAGTATTGTTGCTTAAGGGAATTCTTTTAATGATATCAGATGCAGGTTTGTGTAAAACAGTTTTCAAAACCTCTTCAACGGCTGGCAATGTTAACTACTCTCCGATAGTATGCGGTTTTCCGGATTTTGCTATAAGTAACGAGATATTGTAAGACGCCCGCAAACCATCATCATTTCTTTGTGACGTCGAAGCGAACATTCTGTCCAGTGTAGGTCTCTTATGAAATTTATCTTTGAGTGTTTGAGAGTATTTCAGATCTTTCTCTGTTTTATCAGGGTGGCATCTTCTCAGATGATCTTGCAGTTTAGATGGTTTCATAGCGTCATTGCCCAAAACTTTGTTGCATAAAAGGCACATAGGCGATTGTTTGTCCGGCAATGATGGAATGAAGCTAAATTTCTAATAATCAAAACTGTACTGTTTACATTTCTTTTTAGATTCAGACATGGCATCAGTCATCTGTGGGCAAAATTAAATTATTTAAATAAGACGAGATTTTTTGATTTTTCCGAAAACATTCCGTAATTCAACAATTAGCTCGCATTACGGAGATTGCGCTGTAATTATATTACCGATTGCTAAAACTTTCAAAAAGAAACTATTGAGGAGTACTCGTGTAATTTTGCATGATTGAATATTTCACTACTAATAACTAAAGTCATGATTGGCATAATTTATCTATCTTTGCTAACTACGAGTACAAAACTAAAATTTAATAAAAAATAATGTACTTACTTTTCTCCAGCACTCTCAAACAAAATAACACTGACCCACTATAATTTGTGTGATATACTATCTATTTATATTTTTTTAAAATATTTTCTTAGCACTTTCCTTTTCAAGATTTAGGAAACGAATAAACGTATTTGTCCCACATTCGTATTTATAGAGTGACGAATTGAACAAGTCAGTGCAAGGTAGCGAACTGCGACTCTCAGGTTTTTACAAGTTCAAAATGTATTGCGACCACAAAGCGAATACCAACATCCTAACAACTTACACAATTTTGTAAACATATATCATAAATTTTTTACTTCATAGGTACTTTTATAAATAATGTATATGTTTTGATATTATAAGAGTATGATGTAAGTAAATAGGTACCATCAGTGTATATGTTGAGATCCACTATCGGGGACCCCCATATTCATTTCATGGACCCCCAAATTTTCTGTCGCTGACGTAGACCCCTTGCAGGTTGTCATAGACCCCTAGGGGTCGATATAGACCACTTTGGGAATCAATGGTCTAACTGGTGGTGACCACAATCTTTTATGAAATGATGACGGCGTTGCGTGTAGTGTAGAGTCAACCTACTCGACGCCATTTCTTCCGATATCATGCTTGGTTCTTTGGACCTACAAGTAACAAAACATTTTTGAGAAAATCGAATAGCGATTCTCTTTTTTGGGTACTTTTCCATATGCCCAAATGTTTTGTGTGTATCTCTAAAAATAAATGAGAGAACGACGGATGCATGTTTTACGTAGTAAAAGCAGAAGCTGGGTCGCCTTAAAACAAAACAGTATTACCCCACTTCACGGGTCTACACCCATGCGTTGATCTAAATACTTTACTACCGAGGACCAACAGCAATCAAATCAATTTAGATTGAGTAATCAGTTTCCTTACATGTTCCATACCGCACGCAGCTGTCATGTCAGTGCGACTCGCGAACTACATGGACAAAGATTTCGATTATGATTGTATTATTTCACGCTCTCTTGGCGCTGGCTAGCCAAGCTTCCATGTCTTCGGATTCTTGCCAGCTTTTTTCTTCGAATTCGCTCAGTGTAATGACATCTAATTATATTTCCGTTTGGATGGTTTTTTTGCATTTAAAGTATGTTGTGATATCATATTTTCACTGATCGGTGTAAGGCCGTGAAAGAACTTCTTGTTTTCACTTATGAATAGCGATAGTCGTATGATTCGGATATACAAAATTATTATTTAAATATATTACATCATATTTCTCCATTGCATCTAGTTTCTAGGCTCTGTGTCACCGTGTAGTTTCTGCAACGACTGAACTAATTTTGATAAAATCGTGAAGCATTACACTGTCGAGTCACAAAGCAATAAATGCGGAAACATAAGAAAACAAAGAATCGAAAAGCATATTAAAATCTACGTTTTCAAAAATGGGAAGTATTGCTTTAGAAAAACCAAAATCCGATGAACTAATGCAAATTCCAGATCGAATTTCTATTCTTTGGTTAAACATTTCCCAATAAATGTGCAAGTTTTGCTTCACTAACACGAAACATCGGTTTTGTTACAGGAAACCATAAATTTAACTTAAGCAAACTGATTTTTCTTGAAGCTGAAGTATTTTTCAGTCTCGCTTCATTGAACGCGATTTAGTGATATATTTTCACTTATTGTTGGCACGGAAGCTAATTTCTTGATTTCACATAAATCTATGGCACAACCATATGATATTTGTATGAATGAAAGCGATGTACCATAATTGAACATCCTCAAGGTACAACAACATCTCAGTTACAATAAACAATGTATCATTGGAAAGAGTACGAAACATAAAATGCTTAGGTCCAATAGAGAATGAACATTCGAGATGGAAAGACCGCATAGAGTATGTAGCCAAAAAAAAGAATTCAGGATTTTTGCTCCAATAAATTTGAAACAAGTAATGAATAAAAAACACTTCAAATATTTAGTGATACATTGGGGATCATCTATTGAGGCCCAACGAATCTCTATCCTTCAAAAAAGAATACTCAGACACTTATGTCTGTTGCATCCTCTAGAGGAGCGGTTCCCAACCTTTTTCTTTCTGCGAACTCCATATAAAAGTTGGAACACATATATCGGCGAACCCTTTGGGCAGTCTTACGTGAGAGTAAACAAAACAATAGTTATAATGAGCAAAGTAAATTAAAACATAACCAAACGTAAAACATTTAGAGAAACGTTATTAATGCTAACTAAGGGCCGATTTCACCAACATTATTATTATTATGGACCAATAGGAAAATACCTTATCGAAATGCAATTCGACGGAAGCTGTCAAAGGTCTCAGAATATCAGTGATTTCTATTAAAATGTTGAATAAAATCGTGAAAATTCGACTGTATTATAAACAAGACCACTTTTCGATTCGAACATGATGCTTCTGTACAGAAAAAACAGGACAACTTTCATGTATTTTGATATATGTTATAGGTTAACATTTAACAATCCGTTATCCCCCTCAGCGAATGGGAATGCGGCAAATAAGAATTCGATTTTCTAGCTGTTAAATTTGGCAGCAGGTTTGGTCGTTTGTTAATTCATGGCAATCTCGAAATTTGTTAAGTTCAATATACTGTGTGTATATATGATCATTATAACTACACATACCTGTTGAATTGTTCGGATTTGCAAGAAAATAGTATATAAAATGTATTCCAACCAATTCCTCATCTCTCTTTACATCATAATATACTAAGTGACATATAAATCCGAACACCCAGTTTAAATGGTTTTATTTTAATAAAATTTTGTATAAGTACTTAATGAAGCATAATAAGTAAATGATAAAAATTTCAAAATGATTGCACTGCTTTAAAGCCCTTTGACCTTTAATAATGTGTGGATGCACCCTGATGTGCTACGCGTTCTCCAACGCGCCTAGGCATGCTTCTGATCAGGTGGTCAATGTCCTCCTGTGGTATCTCATTCCAGGCAACCACCAACTACCCTCGAAGTGCTTCTAGAGTCTGAGGAGGACGTTGCAAATTGAGCAATCTCCTACCCATCATATTCCACACGTGCTCAATTGGGGATAAGTCGGGAGATCTTGGTGGCCATGGTAACAATGTGACATCATTATGTTGAAAGAAGTCTACTGTGACTCTTGCAACATGTGGTCGGGCATTATCTTGTTGGAAAGTTGGATCTGCCAGGGTGTCAAGATCGGGTGAAAGATGGGGTTCTAGAACTTCGTGGATATAACGCTGCGCGTTCATGTTACCTCTGATGAAGATTAAAGGTGACCTGGAACCATAAGCTATAGCACCCCAAACCATAACTCCACCAGTGTGATGAACATGTCTTTCAACAAAAAACTGTGGATTCCTCCTTTCACCACGTCGCGTCGCCTTCTAACCCTGGCACGACCATCGTGCATGCCTATACAAAATCGAGACTCGTCACTAAAGACAATATTGTTCCATTCCTGATCCCAGAGTGACCGTTGTCTGCACCACTCAAGGCGATTACGTCGGTGTTCTCGAGTTAAAGGGAGGACCCAGTGTGACCGGTATGAAAACAAGCCAAGACTTCTCATTCGTCGGTAAACACTTCGCATGCCAATAGGTCTTCCGTGTTTTGCAAACCATTCATTTGCAATGGACCTTAGGCGGTGATCTTCACGGTCTGTTGTTCAACGGCGGCGTCCAGTGCCCCTTGCTCTTTGCGTACGGCCTTCTCGAAGCCATGCCTGACAACACCCTCCACAGTGTCTACACTTCTTTGCACTCTAACTGCAATTGCCCGAAAAGAAAGTCCAGCTTCCCGAAGTCCCACTATACGGGCCCTATCAAACTCACTAAGTTGACGAAATCGTACAGGACTCCGTACTCTAGGCATCGTAACCGATCGTAAAGGATGTCAAGAACCAAAATCCGCCAACGTTGATTCCTTACTGCGGCTGAAATATTCATTTTTAGAGCGTTAGTGAATTAAAAAAAAGCAGTATAAAAACCGGAATGTCCAACTGATAAGGCTGAAATTTTTTTTACTTGTTATTTACAGTAAGATAAATACATTCACCGACTTTTATTAAAATAAAACCATTTAAACTGGGTGTTCGGATTTATATGTCACTTAGTATAGTAATCATTTGTTATAAATTCATGGGTTAATGAATTTCTTCAAAGCAATCAAAATAGTATGTCGTCCCCATCCTAAAACACCGATATCTGTAAAACATGTTAATCCCTACATCTCCGAGGTGCATAATGCAATTACTGTAGACGTAGACCTAAAATTATTAGTTATTACTGAAAAATAATGTCGGGCTCATGCACGACTTAACGTAACCGAATTTAAGGATCAGCTGTTTCTACACCAGTGTCCTCCACATGTTACACCGCCAGATGGTAACTAGCTAGTGATTTCCAGTGGTGGTCAAAGGTTTTGGTGACGTCACAGCCATTTTTTGACATGATTCGGGTGGTTTCGGAACTCATCTTACCCTTGGATAGCTCTTTCTATACTGTTCTATGCTCGTATTGACGTACGTATTATAATAATTCTGTGGTGTCTCGTGTTCCATGACGATTTACGGTCAAAGCCAGGCGGTGAATCATCTGTTGTTTTTGTTTGAGTTGTTGACGAATTTGCGGTAG